CAACATAAAAATATTTTTCTCCACTATTCTATTAAATATTAAATGTAATGTTTTACATTAGATTGCATGTTCCAATATATTCATGTTGTAATGGATCAGAATCGATTAAAATATGTGATTGAATACATTGATCAATTTGTTGTTTGATTGCATTTATAAAAATCATCATTGAATCGAGTTATATATTCGGCATGATCTTTTCGATTGATATCCATCGGTGTCCAATGAACTTTATTTCATTTCATTTGTGTTCTAAGATGAAAGTTAGACATCAATTTCATTTTCAATCAAATTCTATGAATACTACGGGAGATAATATATTTGAAAATGATGATGAAATCGAACGAAGTACATAAGCAGCCGGTATTTGATTTGTATCAAGTTGATACCATTGTGAAAGTAGTTTAGCATCATCATCATTCGAATTTGAACGAATAATTTCGAGCAATAATTCAAATAGAAATCTACGAATTGTTGATGGTGTTGGTCGAGATCCATAGCGATGACTCAAGAGAACCTATGTAGGAAATTGTTGAATCAATAATTTGAATAAATAATTAATGATAACTGATCAGAAAATTTGTAGCTAGTGAATATTTTTTGCATATTTCAATTTCATTTAGATATGCTTCAACTTCAGTATGACTATTATTTAATTGTAATTAAATTCTCCAACGCATATCAGCCTACTCCAAATGAGAGAATAATGATTGAATGAATCAATGAATATCTTTCGTTGTAAATCTGAAATTCAAGACCGTATTTTTCACGACAATAATCTTTGAATTTAGGAAAAACAGTTTCAATTAATGAATCACGTTCATTTAGTGTATCTAAATATTATTTTAAGCCAAAAAATTATTCAATGTCAGTAAGTTGCTATTTAGTTATTCAACTTGAAAATGTTGAACTGAGAAAGACACGAACGACTTTCGATCGAACATCTGGCAAGTTTTGACATCAACCACATAAAAGATCCATATAATTGATCGATTGCATGATTCTACAGAGAAATACGTGTTTTATTGGTTATTTTCTTTCATCCTTTTGCTTGATCTTTTACTGTCAAAATTACATTACTCAATGTTGACAATCTGTTTGTATTTATCATGGAGAAACCTCTATTGAAGAAATACATTAAAAAAACAGTATATTTTTGTAACATTAGAACTTGAATAACACAAGAAAATTGTGTGGACTGAAGAATTTGATATGACATTTTTCTGAATGTGCTCCATAATGATATCACTATTTTTAAGAATATCAATGTCAGAATCCCATATCGTAATATTAGTCAAAATGAGTAGAGTCATTGTCCCTAATAACGACACGAGAATTTTCACTTCTCTTG